ATTGGAATAATCTTCCAGAGTCAGTTATTTGTCTTTCTTCTTTTATGTCTTTCAAAACAGCCTTACTTCAGTATCTCTTCCAGTGAAACGCTTGTCAGTTAAGCATTTATCCTTGTTCTTTTTTGTCTTTTGTTTTATTTTTAAAAATTTTTGTGTTTTATTTACTACTTCTGGTTCTAATCTTAGTTGTCTTCTCTATTTTGTCATTTTTTTATTACTATTTTGGTGTTGTTTGGCTTGAGTCATTGTTACTACAGGTCGGTGACCTTTGATGACTCTCACTTTTCATGAATAAACGATCTTAGACACATATATTATACCTTGTATTTTTACCCCAAGCACGTAGAACTAGCCTCTTCCCAATCTTTCATTCCCCCTAACTTCACCCCACACCAAATACCCGTCACACGGACTCCCCCTCGACGACATTCCCGATACAAAAAAATTATCTATAATACGATAACTTGAATAGAATATAAAATGATGTCCAGTTACTAGCTAACAAAAAAAAAAATAACGAACCTAGTAACTTTTTATACTCGTGTACTGACTTTATATAGTACTATATTTCTCTCTATCTATTTTTCTCTTTTTCTCCCTCTCGCTAGCTTTATTTTTACTGATTAGTTTCAAATCCTCCAATCACAACATTACATATACACCTATGCACTATCATATCTCAAATAAAGTTCGAGGACGAAATTTTGCCAACCCAGGGGAGTCCTGTAACGGTACGGAAGTTGAAGATCGTTCAACACCTAAAACCGTTACTACAACGTAGCTAATCTTCTTAGTATTGTATCTGCGCGACACCTCTTTAGAACTGCGATTCTTCTACCTATTTTTCTTATTTGTATATATTTTTATGTTTCTGTGTGATCGATTTATGATTTTCAATTAGTTTTCCTTGTTCAAGTTATTCCTTATTCAAGTTATTTGTATTCAATCGAATTAACACGTATTTATACGTATGAGTATAGTCGAGCATTTTCTTTAATATATGTTATGTGTGTTACTGTACTATTCCTTTTTCAGTGTTATATTAGCCGCCACTTTTCTGTCTTCGTAATGAGTTTAGTTATTGTTCTGAGCTGTTTTATCCTGATAAATAAAAAAGAAGTAACATCTCATTTTAGAAGAGCTAGACTATTGTACCATCAAATATATTCATTTTCCATAACATAAAGATAAGGAACAATTCTAGTCCGAGTCGCCGTCACAGGAGGGTTCTCTTATATTTGTTTTTTAAGTTTTTCTTATATTTGGTTAGGCTTCGTCAAAGTTTCGCTAGTTAAACTTTTTGTCTATCTCCACTGTCTTTCACATCTATGACAAAATAAGTTTGATTGATTTGATTAGATGTCACGTTAGACCGCTACACGGAACGTTATCGCGCGATATAAAGGTTCCACTTTCCGTCCCGATAGATTATCATCTCGATAAGATGTTTTTTCACAATAATGGAGATCGTTATTTCGATAAAAGTTTTATTGAGGACACAAACCGATAACTTTATTCAGTATGGTATGTCGCGATAAATTTTCATGTAGCAGTTTAACGTGGAGCCTCGACAGAGTTAAGACGTATCGAGATATAAGATGTAAAAACGATCGAAAAAACCACACAGGCAAACAAAGTAGTTTCAGATTAGTTGAATATAATCTGTTGTTCTAGAAGCAAAACAGTATGTTGAAAACAACAGTGCAATGGCTGTATGACTCACTCATATATAAATATTAGGTATAAGTAGATGCTTGCATACACACAATTAATATTTGCACAGGTGATTTTTATCTTGAATTCTTTCATTAAAACAGTATTTAGCTTGTTATATTTTTTTGAATAAAGGTACGTCAATATTTTGGCGTATCATTTATCAGAAAAAAAGAACAAATTCATGAGATTCTGTTAAAAATATGATAAAATATACTTTTTAGGAGAAGTTTTTCAACTATTCACATATAGAAAGATCAGTTATGATGATCATGGATTATCCATTATTTATTAGAATAATTTTTATATTTTACACTTTGAGATCATGGTCAATACTGTACTCAAAAGCAACAACAATCACTAGTGAGTTTGCTTATCTTATTCTAATAAATTGTGATGTTGTGACTATGGATGATAATCTTCCATCTGCTCAAGCAATTGCTGTTAAAAATGGACGAATAATGGTATGGGTTCAAATGATGATGTTTTAATATTTAACGATGTGTCAAAGACAAAAATTCTTGATCTTAATGGGAAAACAGTTATGTCCGGTTTTATCGATAGTCATAGTCATATAGGCGATTATACACAACTTTGGGGTCTTCCAAATTTGGCACCACCATCTGTGGGTACAGTAAACAATTTTGCCGATATTAATAAAATCATTCGTTCCTATATTAGTCAAAACAATATTTCAATTCAAGAATTCGTATTAGGTTATGGTTATGATGATTCTATGCTTGACGAAAGACAACAAGCACAACGAACAGATTTAGATTATATAACAAATGATCATCCATTTTGTTTATTACATATATCTCAACATTTAGCCGTTTGTAATAGTTTAGCATTGTTAAAAGTAAATATAACACGTAATAATATACCTGTTATTCCAGGAGGCGTTATCATTTTAGATAACAACGGTGAACCAATCGGTCGTTTAGAAGAACAAGCTGTATCATTTGTTATTTATAAATGGATGAAACCCAAAAGTTTTGAACAAGCAATTAAAGATTTTAAAGATATTCAAAATTATTATGCAAGTTTTGGTATAACAACCTCTCAGGATGGTTATACAAGTAAACAATTTACAATTGAATTATTATTAAAAAGTGATTTAATATTAGATATTGTTTCCTATCTTGCATGGATGAATGCTGATGAATATATTGAACAATACAAAATTAATATTAGTAAAATTTATAATAAAAATAATAATCATTTAAAATTTGGTGGTATAAAAATAATTCAAGATGGATCACCACAAGGAAAAACAACAGATTTTTCACAACCTTATTTAAATCCACCAATTGGTCAATTAAATACATATCGTGGTTAACCAATTATGGATCAAAATCAATTAGATTATTTTTATGATCAATTTTATTCACGAAAATGGCAAATACAAACACATTGTAATGGTGATGCTTGTATTGAAATGGTATTAAATTCAATTGAAAAATCACAAATAAAATATCAAAATTATACAGATCAACGATCAATTATTATTCATTCACAAGTTGTTCAAATAGATCAACTTCATAAGTATAAAATATTAAATATTATTCCAAGTTTTTTCGAAGCACATACATTTTATTGGGGTGATTGGCATCGAACAGAAATATTAGGTAAACAGCGAGCAAAATTTATTAGTCCATTACGTTATGTTTATGATAAACAAATGCGTTTTAGTATTCATAGTGATGCGCCAATTATTCCACCAGGTCATATGTTTCTTATTTGGGCTGCAGTTAATCGACAAACACGTTCTGGTATTATTCTTGGTGAAGATCAATGTATTACAGCATTTGAGGCACTGAAAGCATGTACAATAAATGCAGCATATCAATATTTTGAAGAAAATATAAAAGGATCTATTACATTGAATAAATATGCTGATTTAACCATTTTGTCAGAAAATTCAATAAAAGTTGACTCGAATAAAATAAAAGACATAGTTGTGTTACAAACAATAAAAGAAGGTAAAACAATATTTTTAAAAGAAACAAATTATGCTTCAAAGTATTCTTTTACAGTTGTTATTCTTTTGAGTTGTTTAGTATCATACATAATATTAATATTATTTTTTAGAAAAGAATGATGTTAAAGAAATGTTGCTAGAAAAAATAGGCAGTTTATTAAAACTAAAATATTTATTATCGTGGTCAAAAAGCAGCGCACTCGGATGTTTTTTGAATAACGTTTGAACGAGATGAGCTAGAGAGGTTCAGTTTTCACCATTTTGAAGTAAATTGATAGGGCTATCGAATGACCTTAAAATCATCTGATAACTACCAGTTCCGAGTGGTGTACCTTCTGGGACAAAATATCTGGCAGTGCCGTGAAAAGAATCATAAATAAAATATTTATTCTAAATTTACACCAAGTCGGAGAATCCTGAAAATAAGTGAAAACATAGATTATCGACCATGTTGAACCTCGTGGCGACCTCTGTTTTCATATCAAAATCAGAAAAAGTTCGAAAGAAAAGTTTTCAAGAAAATACGAATTTACCGCTTTAGTCGTATTAAATTAAAAAACTCAAAGCGACCGTAGTATTTGACCAAAATGCATCAAACTTACAGAATCTACTCAGACAGGTATACTCGATACATGCATCACTCCAAATTAAAAACGATTTTTTGTTGAAAGAACGGTACTGTTACACGACTTTCTGGAAAAGCAAATGGAGGAAAATAATTCTTTTTATTATTTTGAATGTCAATAATGCTTAATGAGGCTATGTTGAGTGTATTCTGCAAGTTCGATGCAGTTTGGTCAAGTATTATGGTCACTTTGAATTTTTTAATTTAGTACGAATAAAGCGGTAAAGCCGTATTTTCTTGAAAACTTTTCTTTCGAGCCTTTTTTCGGTTTTAATATTAATACAGAGGCCGTCACGGGATTCAGTGTGGTCGATAACGTATGTCTCCACTCATCTTCAGGGTTTCTCGATCTGAAAATGAGGGATTAGATAGGTGCCAGCAAAACGCCCAGTGACAGCGAACGTGGAAGGACAAAGGTCCCGAGCATGTGTAGTTTGTGGAGCAGATGTTGTTCTATCTAGGTGTAAATTTAGAACAAAAATTTTGTTTAGGATCCTTTTGATGGCATTGCCGGATATTTTATCCAAGAAAGTACACCATCTAGAACTGATAGTTTGCAGATGACTTTTAGGTCCTTCGATAGTTCTATCAATTTACTTCAAAATGGTGAAAACTGAATCTCTCTAGCTCATTTCGTTCAAATGTTATTCAAAAAACATCCGAGTGCGCTGCTTTTTGACACCGATAGTAGGCAATTACCATTTTATCATACATTTCGATACATTAACTTGTTTGATTGTTGTATCGTCTTTGATAATCCTCTTACGTTCATATATTCATTCAATAATTATAAATTAAACTTTGACACCAATGATGTATAGTATAACAATCGATAATTTTTCTGTTTGATTGCTTGAATATTCTTGTCATCTTGCTTTTATTATTGTCGTAGTGAATATTGATAAATAATAAATATAAATAAACAATTGTTTACACAAAAATACAAACGAGAGTGATGATCATTACAAAACAAAGAAACAATAAAATGAATCTCACTATCGTTGGAATTTTTTGTCAAAATGGCTCAGGAAACAACCATTATCCAAATTGTAGAAACTTATTTATGTTACGTCAATCTTTTAAGCAGGTGATTGTCAGGAATCAAGTTGTTTTCTGTCAGTAATTATTCTTCATATTTTCTGGAACGTTTTTGAATCTGTTGTTCCTAGAAAACTGAATGACTGTTTAAAAACTACGTTCTTCCGAGTTAAAGATGAATCTGTTTGTCAAAAGACCGATTCTACAATAAACCAACTGATCTCAATAATTCGTGATATTGTCACAGAATTTCATAATAGTTAACCTGTGTTGAATTGAATGAAATTGATTTATTTTGACATTTCTGTTACACGTCAGCATAACGGAGAACAAGCAAATAAAGAGTGATAAGTATTTCCCTCGATTTTCATAAGACCCTCCGATTCTGTTTTTTTTACAAATTTTTTAATCATAGCGGAAGTACAACGATACTATTCATGTTCTTAACATAGACGACAGAGAAGACGAGCAGTTCAAAGCTCTGCCCGAAGAAATTATGTAATATTGTTAAAACTGGTGGTAAAATGTTATTTATTTGTTGAAAGTAGAACAACCTGTTGTAACATAAGCAAACTTATTCAATAAAATCAAAGAATATCATCGCAAAAATCGCAAGGTGCGAATATGAGGGTTAACCACTGCCTGAAAAAACGAATCTCGTTCACACTTTTGAAACAAAATCGAAACGTTTGCACGAAAAGATTGCATGCACATATGGCACCAGAGCACATAATGCAATTTTCAATCGGCACGTGGACTTTTGGCTTGCAAGCAATAGGAAAACTTAAAAGTGCGTTTCCTACAGGGTATCTTGAGTGCTCTATCTAATCGAATGTTTTTCTAATTCTAAAAAGGTTTTCTAAGTGGTTTTCCAGAGATCCGGTCTCTAGAAAACCACTTCGAAAACCTTTAAAAAACTCGAAAGCAATTGCATTGGATAGAGAATCATCGATAACCTATTGCAATAGTGTTTACACGATTTCATCTGTTGATAATTACAAAATTTCAAAATTTCAGTCAAAAATCCCTAAGCAAGAAATAAAGGAATGAACTAAATTCAAAATTTTTAGTACAAACACGGCTGAACTATACAGCATTCAACGCAGTTTTTCACGCTGATTGCGAATACCACGTTATTTTTTAATTTAAGTGCTACTAAACTGAGAAAAAGCTAAACTATCTGAAAAATCGAGGTTTTTTTGGAAAATCGATAACCCGATCGAGGAGCATTTGTGCTAGTTTGCGCTACCAGTATATATGTATCGTTGGTAGGTCTACCTTCGGTAAAAAGTTCGTTGAATTTTAAGCGTCGGAAAAAATCCGAAACCGATTACACTGAGCACACATTTTCGGGAAACACGTAGCAAAAAAAGAAACCTAATTTTATCGGTCATGGAAAAGCCAAAACAGAAATTGTTTTACGAATGGATAGAGCGAAATGTCTAGTTTTAGACTATGTAAAATTTTAATAAATATTGTCTATTGTTTCGTCGCAATCTATCTTAGCTGCTCTGTTTTCCTAAAAAGAATTCATCGTCGATTTTCCCGCTAAAACGGATGCCTGAAAAAGACTTGCAATGGCAAAGTTATAGTGCGTATGATGAAGTATATGGTCTGCTATTCAAATCTCCAAAAATCTCACTTTCGTTTTTTCACCTAATGTCTACATAGTTGCGTACTGTGTAGAGAGGCAAGTTCTGATTTTTTTTTGTATAATAGTCTAGGTCATTTGTGTAACGTTGGTTTCTCAATAGAACTCCGATTAGTTCATTACTTACAGTCAAGAGATTCAGCGAGCGTTACTTGTGATTCAATACGCCTTCAGAAGATAATTAAAACCCACATTTTATCCAAGAAAAGTGATCATTACCGCCGTCATATAGAGTCGAAATAGATTTGGCTGGAGATTTTTTACAGACGAGCTGAAGAAAAAACTTTTTTGCAAGTTACTTATTAGCATAAGGACATGACCAATTCGAAAATATCTCTGCTCAGGTCTTTTCCGTTACCGAGATAGGCGGCATTTTCCGTAAAATAACTATCTTTCCTGCCGGCTACTTATAATCATACCTTTATGAATAAAATAACCATAAGTAGCTCGAGTACAGTATAGAGACATGTTGCTAGGTGCGAGCTTACTTTTCATTGGTAGAAATCGTGAAAAAATCGGAAGCCCGACATGGTTAAAAGTAGATAAAGTCCAAAGTTTGGAAAATTTGCGCGCTCTCTCCGCCCGCGGAAGACGTTTTTATAAAATTATAACTGCTAGAGAATCTAAGTACAAAGCTACAGCTGCCTAAATAATCAATTTCACCAAAAAATCTTGCCTTTGAAGCAATAAATAAGAGCCAGTTTTTAGGAAATAATGCTTCTTATCTCGGTAATGAAAAAGATCTGAGCAGAGATATTTTCGAATTAGTCATGTCCTTATGCTAATAAGTAACTTGGAAAAAAGATTTTTCTTCAACTCGTCTGCAAAAAAACTCCAGTCAAATCTATTTCGACTTCATATGTTCCACCTCTGCAGTTGTGATGATTGAATGTGCCATGTGTATTATCGATAACGAAATAAAATTGATCGAATGAAGTTTTCTAACCTTTATCAAGTATATGTTTTCAGTTTCTCACATAATTCGTGTTTGCTAAGACTGAAAGCAGAGCTGATACGCGTTGTGACGACTTATATTTCCTCCAATTATAAGTCCTTGAACTTGTTGTATGCATGTGCTAAGATACATATTTTATATGTATTACTCTTTTATTTTACTCCACTTTAATAAAAAACTAGAACCTTCTCAAACTGAAAATGAATCATCGACAATATAATATTCTGCTTCATGCCAAAAGATGAGAACCGTAAAAAGAAAAGAGCAACGAAACAACATAACTACTAAAAAGAAAGGAGAGAACAAAACCAAACATGATACATGTATACGAAGATCATCTATACATAGTGGAAAGAGAGGTTGTGACAACGAATCGTCACACACGTCATTTCCTTTCTTTCGTTCTTCCCCTTTTTATACTTGTGTTGAATTATTTCGTTTCCATTCTTTCTATTGTTCCCTTGTCAATTGTATCAGTGTGAAACCGCATGACAGGTAGTGAGGCATATATTAAGAACGTTCATTCACAATTGCAATTTCTTCATAGGTACCCATGTTGTCGAAACCGGACGAAAACTGGCGGTTAACCACGATTATTTTAAGCACCAGCGGTTAACCGCGGCTAACCGACCGTTTTTCTGGTTAATTGTCAGGTTAGCCGCTGGTTCTTAAAATAATCGTGGTTAACCGCCAGTTTTCGTCCGGTTTCCACAACATGGGACTGGCAAACGGCCGATCGAGTCAGAGATAGAGGTGCAGGCGTTCACGCTGACTTTACATAATTTGGACGCTAACCGGGACTGTTCTGGCATTGACATCAATAAATGTCAAAACTCTTATAAATATTTGTG